AGTTTTACTGAAATCACCAGTCTCAGAAAAAAAGCTGAGAAAAAAAGAGGCGCATAGTGCATCCTGTCTTCAAAACATCCAGAGGCAGCTTTGGTGCCACCTGCTGCCTCGATAAAATATGCTCTAAAACTAATCCCCATACATATTAGATATAATAGACATCTGGGAACATGAAAATAGTGAAAAACTCTACTTACTATTTCCTTTGACGTACAGTATTTGTGGCAGACAATTAGTTAGCGACCAGTGTTGGGTAAGTTACTTTGAAAAAGTAATTAGTTACAGTTACTAGTTACTGCTCACAAAAATTAATATAGTTACTAACTTAGTTATTGCACTATAAAAGTAACTAGTTACCAGTAAAAGTAAATATTCCATTACTTTTTAGTTTGTCGTGGTACCGAGCTTAAAATGGTTGTAATTTAGGATTACTTCTAAATAGAGTAATTGTTGCAACAACGCCACCCTATTTTAGAATTAGTATAATATGTTAGTATTGGGAACTGTCCTGCAAGGCATACAGACAGGCCAAGGTGCCATTACATTGCATTTATTTTTATCCATTGATCAAATTAAGCACATTACAAAACTTGCAATTGAAAGAGACTATTTTAAAATAATTAGTTCCCACTGACACACGAGCAGCCCTAGAGACCTGACAGTCAAGAACCAGGGAAAATACAGTGCGCAGAGCGCCTGACAGTCAAGAAACTGGGAAAATGCAGAGCGCTGAGCATGTGAACTGAGCATTTGCATGCTGCCCGCTCAAAGCTTGCACTCCACGACAAAGTTTTTTATCTTTTTGACTGATATAGTTAAAATAGTGAATATCTCCACCGGAAAAACGAATTCCTCTTCTCTGGCTCTGCCATGTTGCTTTACAAACAAACGCACGCAGCGGCAGTGCAGCTTTCCGCTGCTTTCCCGAGGCCGGTGCCGCCGGTAACGAAGTATTTAGGTAGTAACTGTAATATAATAAAACTTATTTTAATAGTAACGCGTTACACTACTACGTTACTCAAATTGTAATTTCGTTACAGTAACGCGTTACACCCAACACTGTTAGCGACTGAGTAAAATAGAGTGAATTGTCCAAAAATCATCACCTCCATTGAACTTTGTCACAGCACCTGCATTTACCATCGGTACCAGGCTGACAGCGCGGGACCATTCCACACCTGCTCTGTCCAACGCACCGGCAACAGCAACAGCACCGGCAACAGCACCGGCAACAGCACCAGCACCGGCAACAGCAACAGCACCGGCAACAGCACCGGCAACAGCAACAGCACCGGCAACAGCACCGGCAACAGCAACAGCACCGGCAACAGCACCGGCAACAGCACCGGCACTGAAAATGTCCCCATCTGTTGTGGCATCCCATGTAGGCAACAACTCTAAAAACCCCTTTGTGATAGTCTCAACAATGATACGAATGAATGTGCGACTATCTATTACTTCTATTGGTTCTTTCATCAATGGAAATAGAAAATGCCACTCACACGACTGTCAATTTGCGTATAAATTGACAGTCCAAATATGTAGCTCGTTCTGAAATCCTTTCAACAGCACAATTCCTGGACAGGCCGATGTCAGAATCTGAATCCTGAATGTGAGTACAAACTAGGAAATTGCTTTGGCTCTCGATGCAAACAAGTTAAAGCAGAATCAAATAAAAAAAAATTGACATACATTTCCTCAGTTCACTATAAAGTGCACTAGGTGCACACAATAGACTGTTAAGAGTGCGGTAGAGTGCAGTAAAGTGACCGTAGCATTAAGTGACGGTCATGAGGGCAGAGGTCAGTGGTGGTTTGTGAGGTGTTCATGAGCAGAGGGTGAGAAACTATTCTTGTGGTGGGAGTTTTTGGTCCTGATGGATCGTTGTCTCCTTCCTGAGGGGAGTGGTTGGAATAGTCCATGAGTGAGAGGGGTCAGCAGTGTTACGACTAGCCCGTCCGCGAGCTTGGGCGACATACAGGACCTGCGATGGGAGGCTGCGGCAGCTTGGCTTTCCTGAGCTGCCGCAAGAAGTACATCCTCTGCTGGGCCTTCTTGATGAGGAGCTGATGGTCGGCTCCCACTTGAGGTCCTGGGTGATGGTGGTGCCCAGGAAACGGAAGAACTCCACAGAGGTGATGGGGGAGTCCATCACGGAGGGTGGGGGGCGGGGGGACTGTGCTCTTCCTGAATTCAACAATCATGTCGACTGTCTTCTGAGCGTTCAGCTCATACTGTGTATATTAACGGACGTCCATCCATTTTCTTCCCCTTAATCCATTTCTGGGTCGGGGGGGTGGCAGTCAGAGCTGCACCCAGTTCACAGAGCACCAGCCCCTCACTGATCCTCCTGCAGGTGGTGAGTCCACAGGAGCTGAGATCTTTCAGTGGGAGCTTCAGGCAAACTGGGGTTAAGTGTCTTGCCCAAGGACACAACGACAGCAGTCATCAGTGGGAGTCATGAAGTAGGTCTTACGGTGGGCTTGAACCCACAACCTTCAGGCCCAAAGGCCAATGCTCTACCAACTGAGCTACTGTCGCCCCCTAACGGACGTATATATATATATATATATATATATATATATATATATATATATATATATATATATATATATATATATAATACACACACCACTGCTCATAATAACTTAGGGCACACTCAAAAAACACAATGTAACTCCAAGTCAGTCAAATTTCTGGGATATCAGACTGTCCAATTAGGAAGCCACACTCATTGTGAATCAATTTCACCTGATGTTGTGGAAATTAAAGAGACAACAGGTGGAAATGAGAGGCACTTAGCAAGATCACTCCACAAGAGGAATGGTTTTGCCATTACCATTTTCCTGTCTTCATCCTTTGTACCACATTTTTGCAACACTTTTGCATTTGTCCAAGGTTCTCACCACTAGAGGTATCATGAGGAGACATCTACAACCCACAGAAGTTGCTCAGGGAGTGATGCTCATCCAAAATGGCATGTCCATTCGTGCTGCGGAAAGAAGGTTTGCTGTGTCTCCCAGCGCAGTGTCCAGAGCATGGAGGAGATACCAGGAGACAAGCCAGTACACCAGGAGACCTGGGGGGGGCCAACCGAGGTCAACAACCCAGCAGCAGGATCGCTATCTGCTCATTTGTGCACAAAGAAACTGCAGAAGCACTGCCCAAGCCCTACAAAATGACCTCCAGAGGGCCACAAATGTGCATGTTGGTACTCAAACGGTCAGAAACCGACTCCAAGAGGGTGGTATGAGGGCCCGACATCCTCAAGTTGGGCCGGTGCTTACTGCCCAACACCGTGCAGCCCGCTTGGCATTTGCCTGAGAACACAGCGATTGGCAGATTGTCCAATGGTGCCCTGTGCTCTTAAAGGAATAGGCCACCGTTTTTACATACTGACATATGTTCTTACCTTACCTTAGACTAGTTGATATGTACCTGTCTGGTCTTTGTCCGTGTGCTCTGTCATGCAAACAGAGCACAAACGCAGCCTTTTCCACATACTGTATAGTTCCAAATCAGCTCCTGTTAGAAGCTACCAAACTCTTCCACGTGTTCCCTATTTAAATACAGTTACGTGACGTGTTACACTACCAAGTATAGTAACACAGAAATGTAACATATCGATTTTCTCAGCGGATAAAAAGAGGCGTATATTGTGAGGCGTAATAATACGAGGAGCACTACGTCCGCGCACTAACTCCAGACTTCTCTTCCGTCAATAGAAGCAGTGTGAGTGGGAGAGAAGTCTTTAGGAGTTAGTGCGCGGACGTAGTTAACGTGTTTCGGCTGCAGAGCTGCGAGCCATCTTCAGAACTGTCACCCGCCTTGGTGACGTGTCATTTATCAGCTGATGTTACTTCCTGAGTAGGTGTTGTCAGCCTGATTTGACCTGGTAGGTTGCTCAGACTGACCAGGAACTCTATAAGTTCTCAACTTGAAACGAGCAGTTGCAACAACTGTACACGCCACAGAAAAAGAGCATTTTGACTCTGAATCAGATAATTTTTACATTGTTCTTAATGAGGAAATTTCCTTCCTGTCCTTCGGAGGACTTTCACGCTGCTGTGTGACGTCAGGTGCAACCCACTAATAGACTAAATCATGTACATCTGGTTGATTCTATAAGGCCACTCTACATGTAGCCATTGCTCGAATGATCCCCATTTTCACCTCCTCTATTTACTGTATGCCCCTGTGCTCAGCATTACTGCTCAAAACCACTGCGTATGTTTTTCACATGTTTGTAAAGTAAATTATATTGTGGGCTTCAGTCTTGACAAGTCCACTGAGGTCTGAGGAGGAAATACCAAAGTGTGTGTAGATCAGTAATCCTCTGTGATGTCACACAGGAGGTGTGTAACGTCCCACCTCCTGTTCAAACCCCTCACTATATCACACTGTTGATATCACAGACCCATGTGGACCCGACCCATGTGGACCAGACCCATGTGGACCCGACCCATGTGGACCCGACCCATGTGGACCCGACCCATGTGGGCTGTGATGTGAACACATGTGGTGTGTACCTCTCCTAAATTCGACTGAGGCCAAAGTGAAAGAATACACACAGAACATCTGGAATGTGATAGTCCCAACACGGCAGCACATCTGGAGCATGATGGCCCTCAAATGCAAAGATACAGAAAAACAGTAGCACAGGAGGAGGCCCCTCAGTTAAACATGATATTAATGTTAGACTGAAGACGTGTTCATTAATCAACTGTACAGCAATTATATCTGCAAAACTTGAGCAAGAACAGACTTGGTTTTTTCTGTTGGGTTTAGGAGAAGTCTGGTTAACGCGCTATCCTCTCCGCTCTGTATCTGTCATCATCATGACTTCAGTTGCAGTCAATTTACTACATCCACCTGCTGTCCCATTGTCTGTTTTCCTGGATCTACATACTCAGTCCTGGGTCTACAGCCTCAGGTCTGGATCTACAGCCTCTGTCCTGGATCTGCAGTTTCAGTTCTGGATCTACAGCCTCTGGACTCACCTGTCTCTCTGTGAGGTCGAGGTTGACTGCAATCTCGTAGCGCCTCAGCCGGGTGAGATAGTTGTGGTGGGCAAACTCGGCTTCCAGCTCCCGGATTTGCTCCTTGGTGAAAGCCGTCCGCTCTTTCCTGGGTTTACTGCTCACATCTGATTTGTAATTCCCATCCTGAGACTCTGAAACCAAATACCAAACATTTTTGGGGATTTTTTAGTTTCTTCGTAAACGGAGCATTATTAAACTTTTCCACATTATGTTAGAAGATCACAAATGAAAGGTCATACGTCAGTTTGATGCAGAGATCATCAAAAATACATTTAGACTTAGAATGTGTTTGTGAGACGAGAATAAACTATGGTTTAAGTTTATGAATAAACAGTCATGTGTATGATCCAGTCTCGTTTAGAGTCTTGTGTAGCGGATTGCAGACTGTGGCCTGATGCTTTCACTGACTTGAACGAGGAACAAGTTAAGTCCTGAGGCATAAGTCAAACAGCCTCAGCTCAAACACATGTGACTGGTGTTCCAGTCCAGACCTGTCATCCCCACTTCTCCTCATCAGTCCAGAGCCACACCATTTGTTTTGGTATTTCCATAAACCTCCTGACAAACACATGTAGGGCTAATTTTCTGCTTTCAGACTTTCCCCTCGTGATCCTCTGTGGTCAGTGTGATCCTCTGTGGTCTGTGTGCTCAATGGTCTGTGTGAGCCTCTGTGCTCTGTGGTCTCTGGCCTCTGTGTCTGTATGTTCTGGCTTCAGTGGCTCAGACTGATTGCTAACTCGGCAATGCGGTTCTCCTCTGCGTGTTAATCCGGCCGGCGCGCATAAAACCCAACTGTAAATAGTGGTGCTGCTCATCGACCTCGAGAAGCAGTGTCACACTCTGTATGGGGGTCTCTGTAGGGGTCTGTGAGGCTTCTGTGGGATCTCGGGTTACCACCCCAGTCCAGACCAGGAGGACCCTCAGCTCCTGGCTTCAGTCCAGGGAAAAAGATCTCTCTCCTAATTAAGAGTGTATTTTTACACATCCAAATAAGTCTTTATAGTGAGGGGTGCACATAACTTTTTCAGTGAGGTACTCAGATGAGTACCAAGAGATGGTGTTTGGTACTTGCCCCATTTGTTGCGTGGTTATTAATCGAGATTTACAATTGCTTCTTTTTATGCTAAAGTTTAGATCGGCTCAGATAATCCACTCACAGCCCAAAAAGTTAAATATTGACTCACAGTGCTCTTTCTTAAAGGTGCCATATTTCGCTTTTCTTCATTTTTCACAGTCCATACTAAGCACATGTGTGATAATAATTGGGGTGATTCACCATACAACACTGAAAACTTGTCATTGAGTTGATGTCACCTCTATTGGAACGAGGGGAATTTACCTTGAACTTAAGATAAGATAAGATAAACCTTTATTAGGTTTATCTTAACAAGACAGCATTTTACTTTTCTGTACAAACCAACATGCATTATAAATGCAAGGAAAGATGTCGGTACCCCAGCTTTGATTTAGCAAGTTTTATTAGTTGCGCTTCGGGGGGAGACACGGGGGAAGACATGGACACTCTCTGAAGCTCCATAGTCCAGCTCTGTTTCCTGCGAGCGTGTATGGTTGGCGTTGGGTACAACAGTGTGCTTTGGGGCAGTGTGCATTATTGAGCAGACTTGACTGAATCGTTTCCTCCTTGTGATTGTGGTCTGTTCCCTCGAAGACAGAATCCTAGTGTGACCCCTCAATAGGATTGAGCCTCTGGGGTATTTAACAGCCCAGGGGAAGTGCAGGCTGTCTTTAGTCAAGGTAAATCAGACGTTGTGTTTTGACTCATGTATGAACACGTATATGTGATTATAATGTTATTCACAAAAACTAAAGCTACGAGACGTTTTTGAAAGCAGAACTGACTCCAGACTGCACAGGAGACAGGGCCTCACTGTGGTCAGACCGGTTTGGATTAGACCAAAGAGAATCTGGATTGGGTCAGACCAAAGAGAGCCAGTTTGGATCAGTCCGAGTCCGGTTTGGATTAAAGACAAAAGAGTGCAGATTTAACATTATCCCTATTCTTCTGTTTGCCCCAGAGTGATGTCACTGGAAGGTCCTTAAAAGGTGAAAGTTAGAGAAGCATAGGGTTGCTTTGACACAAGACACAAAAACATAAATATCTTCAGTTGTGTCTCACTCTCTGACCTCTGCTGTGCTCCCTGTAATCAGAGTAACATCAGGCCTGTGGTGTAGCATGTTGTCCCTGGTAAACACAGAGTGGTGTAAAAAGGGATAACAGAGCTAACGGAGGGGATAAAAGAGCAGTGTCTGCTCTGCAGCAATTTGCGCCCCCTGCAGCTTTCATGTCCCACAAGAAGGAAAAGTGACTCTGCTGCTGTTTAAGCCTCAAACCAACTGAACAAACCCATCAGATTCTGCTGCTGCTGCACATCAGTTATAATCATATTAAATGTGGTTCATGAATTAATATCAGCAATTTCATCAACTTGATGATGGCGTTTTGATTCTTTTAAAGGAGCAATGTAAGATTCTCATGTCGATATGTTAAAAGGCATTAATAAACTATGCTCTTTTACCAATCAGAAAGTCCGTGATCCTGGTACCAGAACTCCCCACGTTGAGCTAATCTCACAGGTAAAGTAATAGTAGTAAGCCGCAGTAGTAAGCAAGGTCTCGTTAGATTCTCAAATCATTCATGACAAAATAAGGAATAAAAGGAGGATTTCTGTTGGGGCCTTTGTGAAAACAGTGTTGGCTATAGATTTGTTGTTGACAAAACTCTTGTCTATCCGGATATTTTGGTCCCAGCTGGATTTGTCTGCATATCTGGCATAGTACCACTTTTGGCCAGTGTTTCACACATTGCTCCTCTAAATCTAAAAGCACAGATTGTCAGTCAAGCTGTATATGGAGACCCCTGCTGGAGGGGGTATGGTACCATACCTCCATATCAATCAATCAATCTATCAAATCTTTATTTGTAGAGCACATTTAAAACAGCCTAGGCTTACCAAAGGGCTGAACACAGTAGAAAACAGCACAATAAAAACAGATAAAGATATAGAAATATGTATACACAAAAAAAAATGAAAACTTGTCTCTTTCTCCCAGGTATTAAAAGCCAAAGAGAAAAGGTGCGTCTTAAGTAGGGATTTAAAGTGCTCGAGTGATTGTGCAGTTCAAATGTGCAAAGGTGAAGTATGGTATGATGATATGGCACTATCCCCTTCTACTTTATCTGTCATCATTATGACTTCAGCTGTAGTCTTTTTGTTGCTATTCACCTGCTGTTCCACTGTGTGTTTAATGGCGTGATAATGGACCCTTGAATCTGGCCTTTTTTATCTGCACCTGTGGACTATCTCCTGCGGACCGGATTGTGTGCTTGAGTCCTGAATCTATAGCCTCAGTGCTGCATCCATAGCCCATCCGTCAGTGAGAGCGGATCTCTGTCTCTTCACTTCGCACATCAGTAATTACCACTCCCTGCATCACACTTTCCTGACAAAGGTCAAAGATGATTTTTTTTTTTATATATACATATATATATGTATATATATTTCTCTCTGTCCTGTTTTTGTCCTGACTGTATAACACATTTCACTCACACCGCGTTCTATTTCAGGCTTTAGTGTTTTCTGTGGGTTTGAAGCCGAACATGGAGAGGGCCTCCGTCTGTCGTCTGCAGAAGAAAACTTCAAACATCTTTTATTGTTTCAAACTAAACTGTAAATGTCTCTAACCCGAGCGTCAACCCCCTCCACACACACACAAACAACCACACCCCACCCCTGCATGTCAGAATGGTGGCGCACAAGCCTGGCCTTAGTCATCTGTATATTCTGGTCAATTATAATTTCTTTACATGTACGTCTGGGCCTGATCCTAGTGGCTGCGGTTACCTCGGTTGTATCCCCTCCAACCTTTCAGCGAGCGGGGGAAGCAGTTGTAGGTACGTGTTGGTGACGTCAAGGGTTTGCGCCAAATTTTCTGGTCGTAGTTTGGCAATGGCGGCGAATGTGATAGTAACGTAATCCGTTCTGGTTCGGCTCCCAAATATCAAGAAATTGAAGCCGGAGTATAGCCAAATGCTGTGGCTATACTCCCCACTCAGATCCAATCGTTGCAATCTGCTAAAGGAGTTAATCCCTCCCTCCTGTTAATGGAGCTCAATCGAGCAAATCCAGGCCTTAGTACGACATGAAATTAGTAGGATGGTATAGAAAGACCAGGCTCGTGCCAGGCCTTACTGGCTGAAATATTCAGAGGTGAAAGTTGAAAGTAGAAGGTGAAACAAACAAACACAAATGTTCCTCCTCTATGGAAACTAGCAAGAGTAACACCAGTCTTCAAAAAAGGAGAACCAAATGATTTGAATAACTACAGGCCTATTTCTATCATTTCCACAATACAAAAAATATTTGAGAAGATTATTTGGAATCAGTTGAGCGAATATATTGAAGAAAATGGTATACTAACATCATCACAATCTGGATTCAGGCCTAATCATTCGACAACCACAGCACAATAAAAATGTACATATGATATTTTTACAGCTTTTGATCATGGGAAACATACTGGTGCCATTTTCATTGATTTCTCTAAAGCATTTGACACCGTGGACCACTATTTATTATTAGATAAACTTTACTCAGTGGGATTAGTCAGAAATGCAGATTATGCTTTAACTCATATCTACATGGATGACAGCAATATGTGGCAATACAAAACACTCATTCGAGTTGCACAGTCATGGAGAAACGAGTGCCCCAAGGCTCATCACTGGGTCCACTTCTTTTCTCATTATATATTAATGAATTGTGCTCCTACTCAAACGTTCATCTTTATGCTGATGACACAGTCATTTACACATCTCAAGACAGCGTCACACACATACAACATATTTTGCAGCTGGAGTTTATTCGTGTTAAAAAATGGTTCAGAGAACATGATCTCATTCTTAAAGTGATAGTCTGGAACTCTAAATGAATTACACATTTTAAGAATTGTATTAAATTGACCCCCTGGCCTAAAATGTTGATATAAAATAAGTAATTTTAGGAATTCTAATATTATGGGTAAAGCCTGGTTCACACGGCAGGATAATTAGGCCGATTTAAGACCCGATTTACCTCTAACTACAATCTTAAAGGAACAATATGTAAAAATCTGGCCAACAGTGGTACTGCAGTCACAGTCAGTGTTGTGTAGTCCTCTCCCACTCTCCCTGACTCAGGTTGCCAGATACTCACCAAATCCAGCAGCAACATTAACTAAATCAGCCGCAGACGCCAAGAAAACAGGGAACTGGGAACGGTGGGTCGTATATAGATATATCTATTGGATATATTGGCCGGCAGTGGCTCAGTTGGCAGAGCATTGGCCTTAGAGCCTGAATGTTTTGTTTAGCCCACCACGAGACCTACTTCACGACTCCCACTGATGTCTGCTGTCATTGTGTCCTTGGGCAAGACACTTAACCCCACTTTGCCTGAAGCCCCCACCAAAAAGATCAAGGCTCCTGTGGACTCAGCACCTGCAGGAGGATCAGTGAGGGGCTGGTGCTCTGTGTACTGGGTGCAGCTCTGACTGCCACCCCCCCGACCCAGAAATGGATTAAGGGGAAGAAAATGGATGGATATCGGCAGATATTCAGAGCAGGGTAGCGATGAGGCCGTCAGTCGGCCTGAGAGGAGTACGGAGCAGACATGTACTCGAACAAGTCTCTGTTACTTCTTTGCCTGTATTTAGGGGCCGTCAACATTTTACGCTACTCTAATGTTTTGCTCTTATGAAAGTGGATATAAAAAGAGCGTAATGGCTAAATAATACAATAATTAATAAATACATCAAAAATATGAAAATGGAAGATTATAGATTATATAATGTTTTAAACATTTAAACTACAATCAATATATAATATACTGTATACATACTATATACAGTATATATACTATATATATTATTATACAATGATGAAACCATACTTGACATATTATGTAGACCAGTGGTTCTCAAACTTTTTACACCAAGTACCACCTCAGAAAATACTTGCCTCTCCAAGTACCACCACAAATGACCAACACTATACAGTAGCGCAGTAAGCCGAAGTATTCATCAATAACAAGGCAGAGGTTTCATTCCTAAAGAAGTATATTTAATATTGTCAGCCATTGTAACATTTTACACAGTTTCAACAGTAAGACTTAAAAATAGGGAAAACAACTAAAAACTGTACTTAAATAATGATTCAATTAAAATGTTCAATTCATTACGAACTGCAAAGTCTTGACTCACTGTGAATGATATTCTGGAGTGGGATCTTTGTCCACAGAAGGTTTGGACACACTTTTGTTTCTAAGGCTTGCTCTGCTGCCCTCTTACATCTGCCATTTACTCAGAGACATGTTCATATGGTTTGGATCAAATTATCTTTTGTTGCTCTATGTTCCTTTTGCACAGAAATGGGAAAAAAAAAAGCTTTTGTACATGCTGCTCCTTCTGCATGGAACGTGTTGCAAAAAGACTGGAAATTGTCTGAACTTATTTCATTGAATGCTTTTAGATCCAGATTGAGAGACTGAGACGTCCTTATTGAAATGTAACTGTTTTTATAATCCGTAATTTTATGAAATTGTATGTGACTGTTTTATAATCTGTATGTGACTGTTTTATAATCTGTAATTGTATGTATTTTTTATCCAGGACTCCCTTGAAAAAGAGGTTCTTAATCTTAATGGGACTTTCCTGGTTAAATAAATAAAATAAAAACTTTATTTCAGTGATTCTTTGGCCACTAGAGGGAGTTCCACACTTTGAGAACCACTGATGTAGACAATAGGGGGACAACATTTCAAACGTATGACAAACGTAAGGCAATATTCAGAATAGTTAACAACCCTGTAAAATTAATCAAATCTTCCAGGAGATGGTGTTTGGTATTCACCCTATTTGTTGCGTGGTTCTGAATCGAGATTTTATACTTACTTCTTTCTTATGCTAAAGTTTAGATTGGCTCATAATCCATTTTCATCCCAGAAAGTCAAGTAATGACTCACAGGGCTCTTTCTTAAGAAAAATCAAAACAAGACGGCCTGTTGTAGTTTGTTCTGTTCGATTTGTTCACAACATTTTACTTTTGGGCACAAACCAACATGCATTATTACTGTTGGAAAAATGTAGATACCCCAACTTTAATTTTGCCAGTTTTATTAGTTGTGCTTTGGGGGGAAATGCACACTCTCTGAAGCTCAATAGTCCAGCTCTGTTTCTTGCAGCGATGTATTTATTGTGTGTGTGTATGGTCCAGGCTGGGTACAGCTCGCTGTGTTGTTGTTAAAGAAGATCACATGCTGCTGGAGGCGTGAACCACAAAGGCCCCACAATCACGCACCCCCCCCCCCCCCCTGAGATTGCACCACGACCCCCTAGGGGAGCGCCCCACTATTTGAGAAAGACTGATTCTATGTGAAGTACGCAAAGGCGCTTACTAACTCATGTGATAGTACAAGCATTTTTATTTTTGACGCGCATGTGTAACTGCTACCAGTTTTGTGCACCCCTGATTATAATATTAATTGCCGGCAAACATCCAAGAGAACTTTGAAAAAAGAGAAATTCAGTGTAATCTGAAAGGAACAGACAAGACTCCGGAGGAACCAATTTATCGAACGGCCTTAGCAAAGTGATAAAAGAGTCAAAAAGCAAAAGAAACACATCAAAACTACCATTCAAAATATATGAGAGTGCGGCTCTTGAAGCAAGTCTAGATCAAAGTCGATGGTTTGTGTTTTGAAAGAGTAAAATTGTGAATAATGTAAATGTGGAGACTGATGACATCTGTTGGATTCTGTTCATCAGCTAAACAGTAGGTGTTAAATCTCTTTTTTTTTTTTTCTTTGTTCAATTAATAATTGGGAAAAACAACAACAACAACATGGACAAACAAACTCATATGGGAGCTTTGCGGCCGCTGTGGTTTGCCCTATGGATGGGATCTGTTTAAGACAACAACAATCACATATCTCAAGTATCTTCTCGATATTCAAATGAGCAGCTAGCCCAAGAAAAAAGACCCTCACTCCACCAGGTGACTGGTTTAAGGAAGAGGGTAACTAGTAAACAATATCTTAATCGTATGTTTTCAGTCAACACTCAATCAATATATGATGTGACAAAAGTACTTCTTATTGTTCTCAGGTCAAATATTAATATGCAATAAAATGTGATTAATTTTGCTAAATTAATAACAAAGCCTCTGATTAATCACATACATTTTCTTAATCGAGCCCTGGCCCTATACTTAATAGCTTAAAACCAAAAGAAACGCAAACAAATTCCACCATTATTTTTTGTTCACAAAGGACTATTTGACTAAAATACTCTACAGTATGAGTCTCTGAGGGTCTCAAGCTGAGTCGGTTTGTCAGTTCAAAGCTGTGTCAAAGAACTCAATACTAGAAATAAGTATTAAAATGTATAATGGTAATAATGACAACAACAATAATAATAAATATTATTATTATTATTATCATTAATTTTAAAAGTAATACACAGTATATTTGTAGCTCTTCTTTGGACACTCAGAAGCTGAAATAAAGCTCACATACTGTAACTCTGCTCTGACTTTTAAACTCAGACACTGCTCTGGTTCTAATATCAGAATCGTCTTTTACAAACTGCAAAATTAAAGCTTATACACATACATGTAATACTTATACATAGATGCATGAGACTATATGAGACAAGGAGCAATGTCTGTTCACTGTCAAATCTGGGATTAAGACCCTGACCCTGACCTATCACAGACACACTCTTAACATTATTCCAGATATGTGACATTCGTCAGTTTTATTTTAAGTCTATAATATGTCGCTCAATCAAATTTCAGCTCTTACCTGAGCTCTCGCTCCTCCTCTTGCTCCTCTTCTCGCTCTCAGAGCTCATGTGCCTGTACTCAGCTCCGATCGGGGTCCCGCTGCTCAGGCTGCCCCCCATGAGGCTGGGGGGACTGGCACACATGGGAGGCCCCTGAGGAGAGGGCTCATGGGGGTGCAGGTTGTGGCGGGACGTTGTGCTGCTGTTCCCGGGCAGGTGCGAGATGTGCCATGGGGGGGCCGAATGGTGCTGGTGGGACGGGTGGTACTGGGGGGGCAGGTGGGAGCGGTGCGTGTGGTGCTGAGGGTGGTACAGACCTGGACAAGGACGAGACATTCACAAAGAACCAGCTCAAGGAGTAATCTTCATGAAGCAATATGTTTTAAGAAATTGTGAGAATGAGAGCATCATTCAGAAGTTAATTTATTTCTGTCATTCACCCCCAAACCCTAACCCTGGAGCCCTAATCCTAACCTTTAAATGTGAAACCAGGGACTGACTCAGACTGTGGATTTACTCATGTTACTCCTGTTACTTGTATTTGTATAAAAAGAGATAAAACTAAGTGTGAAAGAAAAAAAAGAAAAATCCACAGCTTCAAACACAAAATATATAAATAAACTTGCAGAGTTGTCTCGAATTAAGCTACGTATGAAAACTGTTTGGCTTATTATTTCCTAAGCTGCAAATGAACAGAACGTTTTAAGAGATCCTTTGTTCCTCGGTTGTAAGACTATATATAACAGATCATAGTTAAAAAATGTGACTTTATTACTATTTTTTTGTAACTTTTCTAATTATGTATTTATGTTTATTGTATGGATGATGGAATTCTGCTCCATTTCTCTTATAGGGCATCAATAAAGTATCTATTACTCTTTCAGCCGCAGTTCTCGTCCCTTACCCCGTGAATCAGATACAAATTGCTCTTTCTTAAAGCGTCAGTAAGAGAGAATATACGTGAAATAAAAAAATAACATAAATATTCTATATTAACAAAATACAAACTAGTTCAATAGAGACATTTACAAAAAATAAACCTTAAAATGTGCATAAAAATAATTTAACGAGTCAATAAGTTATTACTATTTTGTAACAACTAAACAAAATTGTAGCACTCTAATAAACACTTTCTGCAAACAGCAGTAACTAAACTGCGCTCCACACACTTAGGATGATGATAGTCTTTATCTGTTTATATGTTTTATTGATGTTATTGTCTTGGTTTTACTTCTATTTATGTTATATAATTATTGTGTATAATTATTATTATTACTATATAATAATTTATATATTTAATTGTTTTAATTTCCTACATCTGAAGCCCTGACGTTGATGCTTCTCCTTGAGGGACTGGAGTATTAGTCTCACATTCAGGTGAATTACAGAGGGAAAGACTTTTGACAGAATCGACATTATATGAATATAATAAATATTAAATACATTTTCTAATTATCAGAATTTCTCCTGTTTAAATTAAACATTAAAGTTGAGTACAACACAGTCCTCTTCATTGAGCCGACGGCAGAAGTGTCCTGTGTTTTTTTTAAACAGTGATAAATGTTTTTCTTTTTTTTTGTAGCGCTATGAAAATACTCCAAACATAACAGTGTTGCCCACCCCTATACAGACCCTTCTCGGGTGGGTATCCAGAGATGACGCTCGGAGACGGGGATGTCGTGGAAGATGAAGAGGAGGATGAGGCCAGCTCAGGGTAGGACACATGGTCAGACCGACCGTGCAGGGCCAGGGGAGAGGGACTGAAGGCTGGGTGTAAGGCCTGACCCGGGCCATGGGGACTCCGCAGGCACCCAAACAGAGTGTGGTCCATGTTTCACAGCCCTCACACGTCAAAGGAGCTGAACACAGGTCAAAGGAGCCTCCACGCGGTTCAAAGGAGCCTCCACACAGGACACGGTTTAAAAACAGAACAAATGACTTCAAACTCTTGTTCCTTTGATTATGTGTTTTATGTCGTTAACAGGCGAAGTGCTACAGCCTCCTGAACCTTGATCGTACAACACTTAAGGATGTGTTGGAGCCTGTTAGTTTGAGCTAAAATTTCACACACACAAAAAAAGAAAAATTATATATAAATATACATGTATATACATGTATATATATATATATAAGTATTCGCCCAATTTGTCAAGCATGGGACGGAGCAGAGTCACAAACTATCCTAAATCCACACCTGGGATTAAAATACAATCCATTTGTAATCCTCCAAAGTCTTACGAGCGTCCATCAGATTCCAGAGAGATGTCAAAGCTTCAGCCGTCAGCCTCCTCTGGCCGACCACATCCAGCCACTCCCAGATGCACACAAACGCCCACAAACTGTTTGTACTGGTCCCAGACGCACAACAAACCGTATGCACCGCTCCCAGACGCACACAAACCCTGTGCAGATGTCAGTGCACTCGGCGCAGCAGAAGGAAGTTCGAGGAGTGGCTCGGAAAGGATATAAATAGGGTGTAACAGGAGAGGGGGCCGGTCCTGGGTTCCAGTCTGCCGCTTGGAGCCTCAGTAGACCACATACGGCCTCCAACAAGCAGAGCACAATCAATCTGAGTCATAAAGAGTGTCCGGGTTAGGGTCACCTCATTGTGGGTTTGGGTCACCAGGTGCCAACCTGACATTGTGTCCTTAGGCAAGACATTGCCTAGAATGAGTCTGGAGTGTGTGTGAATGGGTGGTGCTGGTCGGAGGGGTTGATGGCACAGACTGGTTGCCTCGCTTCTGTCAGTGTGCCCCAGGGCAGCTGTGGCTACAGTAGTAGTTTATCACCACCGTGTTCTGAAAAGCGCTGTATAAAATAGAATTACCTCACTGAGGGTTAGGGTAACTTCTTTTTCCTAATCCCAAATGTATCAAGTCCAACTGGATCTATTATTTTAGATTATTGATTAAAAAGATTATAATGCTGTAGTCAACAGCATCATGAAGTTTCACATTTTACGCTACTCTAATGTTTTGCTCTTATGAAAGTGGATATAAAAAGAGCGTAATGGCTAAATAATACAATAATTAATAAATACATCAAAAATATGAAAATGGAAGATTATAGATTATATAATGTTTTAAACATTTAAACTACAATCAATATATAATATACTGTATAAATACTATATACAGTATATATACTATATATATTATTATACAATGATGAAACCATACTTGACATATTATGTAGACCAGTGGTTCTCAAACTTTTTACACCAAGTACCACCTCAGAAAATACTTGCCTCTCCAAGTACCACCACAAATGACCAACACTATACAGTAGCGCAGTAAGCCTAAGTATTCATCAAAAACAAGGCAGGGGTTTAATTCCTAAAGAAGTATATTTAATATTGTCAGCCATTGTAACATTTTACACAGTTTCAACAGTAAGACTTAAAAATAGGGGGGAAAAAACTAAAAACTGTACTTAAATAAAGATTCAATTAAAATGTTCAATTCATTACGAACTGCAAAGCCTTGACTCACTGTGAATGATATTCTGGAGTGGGATCTTTGTCCACAGAAGGTTTGGACACACTTTAGTTTCTAAGGCTTGCTCTGCTGCCCTCTTTCATCTGCCATTTACTCAGAGACATGTTCATATGGTTTGGATCAAATTATCTTTTGTTGCTCTCTGTTCCTTTTGCACAGAACTGGGAAAAAAAGCTTTTGTACATGCTGCTCCTTCTACATGGAACGTGTTGCAAAAAGACTGGAAATTATCTGAACTTATTTCATTGAATGCTTTTAGATCCAGATTGAGAGAATTTGAGACGTCCTCATTGAAATGTAACTGTTTTATAATCTGTATTTTATGAAATTGTATGTGACTGTTTTATAATCTGTAATTGTATGTATTTTTTATCCAGGACTCCCTTGAAAAAGAGGTTCTTAATCGCAATGGGACTTTCCTGGTTAAATAAATAAAATAAAAACTTTATTTCAGTGATTCTTTGGCCACTAGAGGGAGTTCCACACTTTGAGAACCACTGATGTAGACAATAGGGGGACAACATTTCAAACGTATGACAAACGTAAGGCAATATTCAGAATAGTTAACAACCCTGTAAAATTAATCAAATCTTCCAGGAGATGGTGTTTGGTATTCACCCTATTTGTTGCGTGGTTCTGAATCGAGATTTTATACTTACTTCTTTCTTATGCTAAAGTTTAGATTGGCTCATAATCCATTTTCATCCCAGAAAGTCAAGTAATGACTCACAGGGCTCCTTCTTAAGAAAAATCAAAACAAGACGGCCTGTTGTAGTTTGTTCTGTTCGATTTGTTCACAACATTTTACTTTTGGGCACAAACCAACATGCATTATTACTGTTGGAAAAATGTAGATACCCCAACTTTAATTTTGCCAGTTTTATTAGTTGTGCTTTGGGGGGAAATGCACACTCTCTGAAGCTCAATAGTCCAGCTCTGTTTCTTGCAGCGATGTATTTATTGTGTGCGTGTATGGTCCAGGCTGGGTACAGCTCGCTGTGTTGTTGTTAAAGAAGATCACATGCTGCTGGAGGCGTGAACCGCTGTCATTCCAAAGCGGACGCAGTTGCTCCACGGTCAGAACGCTGCGGCCACAGAGGATGCGGCATCCTGTTCGGATACATACAGCAAACAGCAAAGGCCCCACAATCACGCTTGCCGCCCCCCCCTGAGATTGCACCACGACCCCCTAGGGGAGCGCCCCACTATTTGAGAAAGACTGATTCTATGTGAAGTACGTTAAGGCGCTTACTAATGAGGTTTCACATTTACAGATGTGAAACTTCATGATATTTACAGTTGGTATTGTACTTTTTTTTATCTGATCTAAAGCTGTAACTAGAGTCAGGACCAGGACCAGGACCATACCTGTGAAAACAAGTGTTTTAGAGCCAGTAACTAGGGACATGGGTTTATTGCACAGTTCAATTGTGGTTTTTTTAAGTTTTGTATTTCACCTTAAATGCCACACACACACACTACACACATTACAAACATTTCACACTCTATACACACACAAGCCGTGGGCTGCAGAGGAAATGATTCACATCATTCTAGATGAGTTTTGCAGATGCTTCATGGTCCCAGACTGTCGGCCTAAACCTGGTCCAGTCCTGGTCAAGTCCCACTCTTCCCAAACCTGGTCCCGTCCCACTGATCTCAGACAGCCTCAGGTCAGTCCAGTGTTTGCTTTAGTAATGAAGAACGCTAGCACCTGGCGACACACTCTGAGACGGAGGGGAGAGGAAGCAGGAGGGGGGTCAGACGGAGAGAGAATGAGGGAAAAGACAGAGACATACGCAAAGGTACAAAGACACAAAGCTAACGTCGTTTAGAACAAATGCGTATTAGGGAACTGGCTCCAGCTAGTTCAAATCGGCAATCGGAAACAGGAGTTTGAGCTAATATAAATCTTAAATAGTTACTGTATATCAGAATCAGAATCATTTCTATTGCCACGTAAGTAACAGGACTTGGAAATTGCTTTGGCTTGGTGCAACAGTCAGAGAGAGAGAATAAAAAATTAAGAATAAAAAACACTTCTAAGAAATAATTTCAAAATTAAAATTAAAATAGAGTTATAATTACTATATACAATATACAGTGCACATATTGCACACAAGGTAAGGTGACAGCAGTACAGTGGGGTAAAGTGACGTATGATGGGCAGTAAAGTGACTTTATAAAGAGCAGTAGGGGACTTCTAGAGGGCGGGGAGGTTAAGAAGTGATCAAGTGTTCAAGAGTCCAACAGCAGAGGGGAAGAAACTGTTCTTGTGGCGGGAGGTTCTAGTCCTGATGGACCGCAGCCTCCTGCCTGAGGGGAGTGGTTGGAATAGTCCATGTGCAGGGTGGAGGAGGTGATGGAGGAGGTGATGGAGGAGGTGATGGAGGAGGTGATGAGGAGGTGATGGAGGAGGTGATGGAGGAGGTGTTGGAGGAGGTGATGGAGGAGGTGATGGAGGAGGTGAGGGAGGAGGTGTTGGAGGAGGTGATGGAGGAGGTGATGGAGGTGATGGAGGAGGTGATGGAGGAGGTGATGGAGGAGGTGATGGAGGAGGTGAGGATGGACTCGATGATGGCCGTGTAGAACTGCAGCTTGGCTTTCCTGAGCTGCCGCAGGAAGTACATCCTCTGCTGGGCCTTCTTGATGAGGAGCTGATGGTCGGCTCCCACTTGAGGTCCTGGGTGATGGTGGTGCCCAGGAAACGGAAGGACTCCACAGAGGTGATGGGGGAGTCCATCACGGAGGGTGGGGGCGGGGGGACAGTGCTCTTCCTGAAGTCCACAATCATCTCCACTGTCTTCTGGGCGTTCAGCTCCAGGTTGTTACCACTGCACCAGGACACCAGCCGGTCCACCTCCCTCCTGTAGGAGACACCAGGACACCAGCTGGTCCACCTCCCTCCTGTAGGAGACACCAGGACACCAGCCGGTCCACCTCCCTCCTGTAGGAGACACCAGGACACCAGCTGGTCCACCTCCCTCCTGTAGGAGACACCAGGACACCAGCCGGTCCACCTCCCTCCTGTAGGAGACACCAGGACACCAGCCGGTCCACCTCCCTCCTGTAGTCGGACTCATCGTTGTTGGAGATGAGTCCAATGAGGGTTCCTCTCTGTGTGTGCATGCGCATTCTCCAAAACAAACATGGCAGAGAAAGCAAAGCAGACTTCAGTGCTACCGCTGATGCTTACGCAACACAACAAAGAATTAGCAACATGATGACGAGCCAGATTTATATTGGCGACGCTTTAGATCGGTGGAGGAATCATGGATGTAAAAACTCACTAGTCTTTCACCTACTGAACACGTAAACATTATTTTACTCAGTAGTTGCAGTAGTGGAAGTAGTAATTATACATATTTTAGCCTGAGATAGACTGTACTGTGGTACAGCATAGCTTGTTAAAAATACCCAACTGTTGTAGACATACAGTATGCTCTATTGAACAGGGAGATAAAGATGGCGGAGTGAGTAGTCGCAAAGTTTTGCAACGCTCCAGAAGAAGTGTAGCCTGACTCTGGCCAGACCCATGTGGTCCGCTGCACTTCACATGAGTCTGGTACTGAGCCACAGTGGTTGGATTTCAGAAGGCAGGGCCTTGTAAAAAAATCCTTGTATGTGATTGGATAGACCACTTGTCCGTTATCTTGAATGAAGTCTGCTTTCAACCACTCACATCGAAGCACACGGCTCCCATAGGTTGCCAAATCCCAGCAAGATTTTCCAACCCAAAATCCACAAGAATACCCAAAAAAAACACTCAGTATGATTTTTTTGGCTAAAAACTTAATGTAATCAACTTGGGCTGTCATGATTCTGTTTATTGTCTTTCTGTTTATTTAATACCTACAAGTCTCTTGGAAAAAAATATGCGGGAACCACCAAACCTGGCAACCCTGCTGCAGAGTGTGTAAACAGGAACACTGAACCAGTGCTTCAACCAAACTTTACAGGAACATTTGACTCTTAAAACACACATATATCAACATAGAACCATCAACATAGAACCATCAACATAGAACCATCAACATAGAACCATCAACATAGAACCATCAACATCTCGCCTCAAATTGCATTAAAAGTGACATCCGTGTCTTAATTCGATCGTATTTACTCTTTTTTTTTTTAAATTGCAGACTTTACGTCGGCCATCTTGGATTCCACTCGCTGCTGCATGAGAGAAGCTTGAGAAGGCAGTGCAAACCCCACATAACACCGGCAATCCTGATTGGTCGATTAAAAAATAATCTGGGGAAGGCGTTCGCTATGGGCTCGATACCAGACCCATGTGGTTCAGCCAAACGCCTCCGGTGGAGCATGGCGGAACTACAAGGGTCTGGCAGAGCCAGGCTAGAAGAAGTGACTTCATAGTCCATAACATAAAATTCTGAAGATACAGAATCAGAATCATTTTTATTGCCACGTAAGTAACAGGAAGTCACAGATCTGGAAATTGCTTTGTCTCAGTGCAACAGTCAGAAAGAGATAATAAAAAATAAAGAATAAAAAACACTTCTAAGGAATACATTTTAATTTAAAATAGAGTTACAGTTACTATTTACAATATACAAGTGCACATGGTGCACACAATGTAAGGTGACAGCAGTACAGTGAAGTAAAGTGACGTATGATGGGCAGTAAAGTGACTTTATAAAGGGCGGGGGGACAGGTTAAGAAGTGTTCAAGAGTCCAACAGCAGAGGGGAAGAAACTGTTCTTGTGGCGGGAGGTTCTAGTCCTGATGGACCGCAGCCTCCTGCCTGAGGGCAGAGAGACTAAGATACAGGTACCCAGAGACACTTTTAAGGTTGGATCATGGGCGTCGGACTGGGGGGGTAAAGGGTACCGAGTACCCAGGGCCCAAGGCGGGGAGGGACCCTCTAAAGTGTGTCTTTATATTTATATGTATTAGGCATTATGGTATATTCATATTATTACAATTTGAATGAAAGGGGCCCTGTATAAAAATAACCAACGTTTTAACCTCAGTTTTCCTCTAAAAACAAATTTGTATGCTATATCAGGGCCCTGCCACCCCCTTACAAAAGATCAAATGGTACGACCCACATGTGCGCTTGTTGCTGTGTTGCTGCCGCTGCAGCGAGTTGACTTGTTTGACAAGCAGCGGCAGAAGCGGGAAAAATAGAAATGTCTTTTCCAAAGAAAGGAAAGTCAGGATTTCAGAAAAGAAAAGAAAGACAGGACAGGGAGAAAAAGTGTAATGAGGGCAAGCAATTGCTTACTCAGTTCTTCCACACGAGAGGTGAGTAAATAGAGACGTGTTAAGGCCACATCAGGAGAAAACCCAGAGACATTTGTTTCTGTATTCTAAACTCACGGAGAGCTAACAGTGTGCCGTGTACGTGGTAAAAAAAAAACGTTATCCAGAGTGACACACACAGACGCGCAGCTGTAAAGGGAGCTCACACACTGTCCACTTCTCCTTCAAAGGCAGGCAGCAAATAATAATAATAATAATACATCAGTTTTATATAGCGCTTTTCGAGAACTCAAAGACGCTTCAGAAATTCATGACACAAACACACACGTTTAGACAGACACACAAACTAAAAATCTAAGAGTGAGGAAGAAGGGTAGAGAGTTTAAACTAAGAGTCATGCTCGGAGGAAAAGGTGAGTTTTGAGCTGTTTTTTGAAGGAGTTTAGAGAGTCCGAGTTTCTGAGATGGAGGGGGAGGGAGTTCCAGAGAGTGGGAGCAGAGATGGCGAAAGCTCGGTCCCCCAAGGTTCGGTGCTTGGATTTGACAGTGGGAGTGAGGAGATGTGAGTCTGCAGATCGGAGTCGGCGGGAGGGACTGTAGGGCTGTAGAAGTTCAGTGAGGTAAGGAGGAGCGAGGTTATGGAGGGCTTTGTAGGTGATGAGGAGGATTTTGAAATGGATGCGCTGTGTAACGGGGAGCCAGTGGAGTTTTTGAAGGACAGGGGTGATGTGCTCTCTGGAGCGGGTCTGAGTGAGGAGGCGGGCGGCGGAGTTTTGGACATATTGTAGTTTTTGGAAAGAGTTATTTTCATGTACAACCCTGTACCCTATATTCCCACTATTGTCATAATCTGTCCGTCCGTGAGTCTTGCAGTCATAAGTCACGGGTCACTCACTGGCCTCTGCATTGGATCATCTGGTTATAACCATACAAATCACACGCCCCGCACCGATTTGGAGTTTTCTGGTGACATCTAGTGGTCAAAATAATGTAAATAAGTCTAATGGTCTAAAGGTTTATAGCTCTACAATTATCTTAGTGCCCAACTGTAAGCCCCCCCTTCTTCTCCACTGGTGCCATTTTTACAGAAAAATTTCAAATGTTCATGTGGGCGGAGTAAGGCTAGGCACAGGTGTTTAGTTGAAAATGGAATAGGCTTATTTCAAAAAAGATTGCATCGATTGAATTTTGCCACAAAGTTGGTGAATAATAATGAACCATAAATCAGTAAGCTTAAACTTGTAAAGAACTATTTAAGATCCACAATGTCCCAAGAGAGACTGAACAGCCTTGCAATACTCTCCATAGAAAGTCAGTTGGCCAAAAACCTGGACTTTAAAGACCTGATCAGAAACTTTGCAAATGCAAAGACCCGTCAGTGGGCTTTTGATAAACATTGACCATACATTTATCTTTGTACTACATTGATGGTTCTCAAACAGTGTAGTTCTAGTTTTTGTTAAATGTTTACCTTTTTTTGGGCTTGTCCCTGTTAATAAATAAAATGGACATGGTTATCAACCTGGTGAAGCCGTTGTTTGAAAATAAAGCAATGTTTATTGTATATACAGGCTACTCAATTAATTTTTTACATGAAGGTAATAAAAAATATTGTAAACAATATTGATGATAATAAAACCGAAGGACATGAATCAGAATTTTATTAACTAATTAAATTATTATATATATATATATATATATATATATATATAAGAAACGTGTAGTGGGGGCCCATTGAGACTGTTTGTACCCGGGGCCCAGAATTTGGTGCTACCCCCCTGGGTTGGATAAAAGGGCCCACTCTGTTTTTGTTTAGTTTTTTTCATCTGGATGAAAGAAAAGTGCAAAGTTAACATTTGAAGCAGGCTAACAATCTTAGACTGTCAGTCAAGCTGCGTAGGGAGTCAGTTTGCTGGGAAAAGTATGGTAACTTGAGCACTATCCTCTCCTCCTTCCTACCTTATCTGTCTGCATTATTAGGATTTTGACTGTAGTCTGTTCATTGCTATTCACCTGTTGTCCCATTGTCTTTTTCGACAGGACCTCTGAACCTGGCCACCTCCATCTACACCTGCGGACTGCCCTGCCCGATCCGCCTGGGAGCTGCCTTAGTTCTGCACCGGACCTGTCCACGTTCTGCGGCCGCTGCGTGGCCCTGGTCCACGTTCTGTATCTTAGGTCCCGGATGTGGGTCTCCCCGAGGTTTCTCACTTTTTTTTCACTGGGATTTTTTGACGAGTTTTTCCTTGTCAATGCAGGAGGGTCTGTTGGACAGTTAGTGTCTAACAAAAAGGCACTTTTCTGCCGCAGATCAGGCATTCTTCTTGTATGACCACTTGGAAGGGGAGGCTAAGGATGAAATCAAGTATCGATCAAGTGCAGGGCGCTCCAATCCAAATATAATAATCTCATGTTTCGCTACTGGAGGATTTCTTCTCCTGCCGCCAACAAGAGGGTGAAAGTTTGCTTGAGTGTTCCCTCGCGCTTATGGAGAGGGTAAAGCAGCGCGCTTCTATTAATATGAACAATGCAGAAACATTACTTTGCAATCAATTCGTTGAGCAGGTCTTAGATTGTGCACTCCGTCGACACCTCCACAACGATTTTACTCAATGTCAGAGGTGAGGTAATAAGGTGGGAGCGTGAGGGACTGCCAGCGGAAGTGCGTGGCTGCAGTAAATCTGTCCCCTCAACTTTTGGTATCCAGTACGCCATTCAGGGTGGGTACCAGTCAAGCCCCGGCGATCCAAGATGGCGCCCTATTCAAATGAATGGTTGTGCTCAGTGGCGCTTTGTGACGGCATGGGGGCTGAAAGATTAGCGGAAGTCGCCTGAAACTCGCAAAGATCTATGGGAAACTCTCAAAGATCTATGGGAAACTCGCCTGTATTTGGGCATTGTCTGGTCCTCCCGGTTCTGTGCAGTGGATGATCTCCCATAATGCGTTGCACCAAACACGAGTGTGTGGGTCTCACACCGGGTCTCACGCACGTGCACAGAGGGTTTCACGCACGTGCACAGAGGGGCTCGGCCGCGCTCTGACCAATCAGAGCAGTTCATCAGAGCGGGAGTTAGAGCGAGAGCCAGAGGAGCAGAGTTTGTGGCACTAAAGTGTGGATTTAAACAAAACCGAAGGATTTAAGAAGAAAAAAAGTTCAGGATGACAAGGGACACTAAAATCCCCACAAAATCCGATCTTTATTAAAGCTGTAGGTTCTCTGTCAGCTGAGGTTGAGCTGTTTTAATATGCATTGAGTTCTATGGGGAAAATTTCTGGGTAGCCCACGTGAATTTAGTCTGGTTCAGTCTGCAGTACCGCGAGAATCCCCTGAGCACGTGAGTTATTCAGCTACAAGCTAGTAATACCCTATCCAGTTAATATAATACATCCATGGTACCAGTGTACTAGCAATGCTGCCTATGCTTCGGAAGTAAGTGACATGAAGCAAATGTTACGGCAACAATAAGAGCAACTTGATAATCTGATTCAGAGCGTGGCTCATTTACAGGAATCTCACAATCCTCGCCAGCCTAACCGCTCCCCCCACTCTGGTCCAATCATTTGTAGGCGATACCGTCAGGCTGTACACATTTCCTGGGACTGTGAGGGCAAGCATGCCCCTCCCCCTCATTCGCAGGGTTGCAGGGCCACGGCTTGCGTGGGGCACTCACTGGCTCGTACCATGTTTTTAATGGATTGGATGATGCACCAAAACTAATTTCCTCCTGTCCACATATTAATGTGAGTATGAATGGAGTTGCCGTTCCGTGCCTTGTTGACACAAGGTCTATGGTGACTACAATCATGGAATGCTTCTTCATGGAAAATTTTGCGCCCCTCGGGTGGGAGCGACTCAAGGCTTGCCAAAGGCTGAAGCTTAAGGCCGCTAAGGGCTTGTCTATGAAGGTTATTTCGTGTTTTTATTATTAACACTTTTCTTGCTTTTGAAATAAAGCTATAAACTATAACAAAAAAGTATTCAGTTTAAATTAGGGATGTTCGATATTGGCTTTTTTGCCGATATGCCGATATTGTCCAACTCTCAATTTTCGATTCCGATATCAGCCAATACCGATGTCGATATGTGGGTTATTTTTCCTCAAAACTAATTTAGGTAACATCCCATTTCTCCTGTTGTGGAATTAACACAACATGCTTAATGTTATTGTGATGCCCCACTGGATGCATTCTTGAATGCAACAAGGCTTTCCAAATGTCAACATTCTCTGTGCAAAATAAGAAATAATACTTTAAAAATTGCCCAAAAAATAACAATTGTAAAACGCTTTGAGACTAAAATCTGCAGTGAAAAGGCGGTATATACTACTACTACTACTACTACTTCAACTTAATTTGGGAAAAAGTGCCATGTTTATTTATATTTTTTTACAATTGTCTCAAATAAGTCCATTTAAATAAACAACTTTTATTTTTTCACTATAATAGAGTTCCTCAGACTTCTTTTTTTCTTTTTGTCTCAAACAACACTTTAGATTGAGCTACCAAAAATACTTAAGGTGAAGTACAACAAATGAAACATTTTAAGGTGTACAAATCTAAGCAGCCTGTGTCCCTAGCAAATTACTTGGGCTATTGCAATCATTAAAATTATAAACTGGGCTCAATCAGCACTGCTCAACATGAGCAACAACAAAGAGATGCAACATTAAGGTAAAGTGCAATAAGAACAGAAGGCACAAAGTTTCAGTCCAGACCTTCTAGAGTAGTAAACAAAGTCCTCCTTTAGTATTAGTCCAATGAACGGGGCTAAAAGACTGACTGGGCCATACCCACAATCATTAAAATATAATCATACACTGGGCTCAATCCACCCTGCTCTTTCAATGAGTAACAACAACATGTACAAATAGAAACAAGAAATGCACAAAAATAAAAACAGCTTCAGTCCAGACTAGTAAACATAACCCTCATATAAAGTGCAACAAATGAGGCTAAAAGACTGATCTTGACTCGCCTATATGACTGGTCTAATTTTTTCCCTTGTCCATATATCTGAGAAGTAGATTTTTCTGAACGAAAGTAAGCATCTCGGTATTATTGCAGTGTATGCGATTTCTCTTTTCGTCTATGACATGGGAGACGGCGCTAAACAGCCGCTCGCTGTCTACCCTGGTACAGGGCGCAGTGAGGTACTTGCGTGCAACTTGGGCAAGTGCAGGGAAGCGGATCTGGGTGGAGCTCCAGTACTTGAAAGGGGATGCTGTCTTGAGGATGGTGGCTTCTCCCAGGTATGCATGAACCTAAAAAAGAAGTAAAAACAAAACAGAAAACTTACTTTTCTTAAAGTTTATTATTTAGAAAATAATATTTACTCATCTCACCTGTGATGCTGTTTCGCCTGTAGTTGCCTGTAGTTGCTTGTTCATCATTCTCTGTGAGGATTTCTTGGTACATGTCCTGCAGGCTCCCAGTTCGGGCCCTCTTAGGTGGGGGGTCCCGGTCCTCCTGGCTTGGATCATCTACACTGGCACCAGCAGCATCTTCTTGCTGATCATTGCCCACACTGGCCATTTCATCCACAACTTTCAGTAGCATATTCCGTGCTTCCTTCTTCTTGTCCGGATCAAAATATCGGTCTTTGTAGCGAGCATCAACCATCGTTGCAATTACGTTTGGCTGTTTGCACACCTTTGTCGGATTCATCCATCTTGGCAAGCAGCCGGGTCAGGGACGCCACACCAGGGATGACATCTGCAGCAGTGGCCTCTGCAGAGCTGATGTCCCTGGTTAGCTGCTTAAATAGTTCCAGGAGGGTGATCATCTTCTCCATAATTCCCCACTGGGTTGCTGTCAATGTTGCGGGGAGTTCATAATCAGCAGCATGTGCACTTAAAGCCCTCTTTTGCTCTTTTGTCCTACCACTCGCCTCCCCACAGCCAGAGCATCAACAATAGAGACAGGGCACCTCCATTCACTGCGAGCTGTAATGTGGCTGTAAACAACACCGTACAACTCGGGTAAGCAAACATCTGTTACATACTTGCGTTTGGGCATGGTAAAGCGTGGCTCGAGGAACTCCACAAGATTAGTGAATCCAACGTCTTGCACGATTGCAAATGGCTGGTTATCCAGTGCAATACACCCAATTATTTTCCGATTGATGGCTTTTGCCCTGGGGTGGTCCTTGGCGTATTTCTGTTTTTTCTCAGTGGACTCTTTAAGCGTCAACTGAGTCTTTTTTTTCAGTGCCACGGTCTGTCCCTGTTGCCTTCACAATGGTGAATGCAAATAGTGGCGGTGCGTGACGGGCGCATCACAACGTGACGGTTGTGGTGATGCCAGAACAGCACCACCTACAACAGCCCAAATAATACCCCTATGGGAGTTTCTGGGGGTCAAGTTTGTCTTAGAGCCATGAAATTAGGTACAAATGTTCCTCAAGTCAAGACGAGAAAAAAATATTATTGTGGCCCCGCCCTCTGACAAACAGGAAGCCCATAAATTTCAGTGCAAAATGGAAAAAATGAACAAAAAAAACAAACAAAGTTTTCATACATGTCGGTTGGAAACTATCTCCTCATCGGCCGTTTCACCGATTCGCCTCAAAATCGCTCCACATCATCTCAAAACATGTAACTTCAAAATGACGTCAGGGATTTTTGATCAGTGAAACGTTGTTGGAGCAGCAGCATTTATAAAAAAATATTATTTTTTTGCCGTTTTTGACATTATTAAATTTACAAAGTCTGATTTTCACAAAACTTGAATACATTGTTCAACTCTAGGGTCTAGGTCAATTGAAAGTGAAATAAATGAACTTGGCTCATTAGTGCCCCCTACAGATGTAAGTTATTATGGACAAGCCCCTTGACAAACAGGAAGTTCATAAATTTCACTTCAAAATGGAAAAATGAAAAATGATCCTTTTCATACATGTCGGTTGGAAAGCGGCCCCTCCTCGGCCGTTTCACCGATTTGCCTCAAAATTGCTCCACATTGTATTGTATTGTATTGTATGTACTTTATTTGAACAGGGACAGTGTACAGTTAAGCATTAACACAAAAGGAGAGATGCATGTACCAGGTTATAGTAATTTTCACCTGTAGTCTCTGGGCAGGCTGCTGTTATGTTCATTTAAACTGATTACAATGTAGATGGATACATGACTGTGTCTTACATTTACAGGCTTTAAATAACATCATTCCCTTCCTCCCTTTCAATGGCTGCACGCGCTGCGCAGGCTGAGGTCTCAGGGCAAAAGAAAGGTTAACCATCAACACTTTTACTCCGTAAGTGTTCAGGCTGCCTGCACAGATGTTGGTGCAGTTCTACACGGCCATCATCGAGTCCATCCTCACCTCCTCCATCACCGTGTGGTTCGCTGGAGCCACAGTCAGGGACAAACAGAGACTACAGCGCATTGTGCGCATTGTGCGCTCTGCAGAGGAAGTGATCGGCCGCAGCCTTCCATCGCTGCAGGACCTGTACGTCGCCCGAGCTCGAGGCCGGGCTGGTCGTATCACAGCCGACCCCTCTCACCCTGCACATGGACTATTCCAACCACTCCCCTCAGGCAGGAGGCTGCGGTCCATCAGGACTAGAACCTCCCGCCACAAGAACAGTTTCTTCCCCTCTGCTGTTGGACTCTTGAACACTTCTTAACCTGTCCCCCCGCCCTTTATAAAGTCACTTTACTGCCCATCATACGTCACTTTACTTCACTGTACTGCTGTCACCTTACATTGTGTGCACCATGTGCACTTGTATATTGTAAATAGTAACTGTAACTCTATTTTAAATTTAAATTTATTCTTTAGAAGTGTTTTTTATTCTTATTTTTATTATCTCTTTTTGACTGTTGCACTGAGCCAAAGCAAATTCCAAGTCTGTGACCTCCCGTTACTTACGTTGGCAATAAAAATGATTCTGATTCTGATTCTGATTCTGATTCAGATGTGGCCCTTTCCCTTCAAAAAGCTCATGCCTATTCCAGAACAGATTAAAATTCTCAATGAAGGCAAGTCCTCTGCGTGAACATTCGTTGAGTAGGAAAGTATTTAGCTGATACAGACGACTGAATTTAATTTGCTTCCCGTCCACATTTGGTAGTGGGCCACTGATAACAATTGTTACGTCCATTTTTGCAAGGTCGTCCAATAAGAGAGAATAATCCCGTTTCAACTTTTCACTTGTGTTGTCATAGACGTCTACTGCCCCCACGTGGATCAACAATCTTTTTACCCCGCCGGTCTCAGACAGAAGCCTCGGAGCCAACCGCCTTATCTCATCCACTTTGGCAGAGTGTACTGAGTGAACCTTGAGATTACGCATGTTTACATACCTAATCGCAGGATCCCCGATAAAGAGCGACTCAGCTGCATTTGACCTTGACTGAGACTGAGACTGGGACTGAGAGACTACTGCTGATTCATCTTCCAAAAGTGGTGAAAAGCGGTTTCTTGTAATTAAAGATTTTTGCTGTGGCATTATGACACTCTTGTTATCATTAGCTTTGCCTTGTTTGGGCTTGGCACCATATGTGTTCCAACAATTGTCTCTGTTGATTTTGGGAAATGAAATAGCGTCATCATAACTTACGTTCTGTCCATGTGGTCCATTTCCTTTCACTGGTATTGTTGTGTTCAGCCCCAATTCTGATTCAAGCACAAACATTCGGTCTTGAAGAAGTTTTAGCTCCTGTTTGAGTGAAAAACAGCCGTCGCCAAGTTTTGTTCTTTTTTTCCGTCCTCCCGACATGCTGTAAGTTAGGTAAATTCCACAAGTCTTGTGTTGAAGTATGCAAAAAGGAGTAATCCATGTTTTGTGGAATAAAAATGTAAGCAAAAATGATTAAAGGAGATTAAAAAGCAGCAAGCGAGGAGCAGCAAGTAGTACTTCCTGCTCTTTCCAGAGAATGGCATTCTCTAAGTTTGATTTGCACTAAACTTGACTCAGTTGTTCAACTCCTGGGCCTAGGTCGTCTGAAAGTGTGAACAATGACATTGTCCCATTAGCGCCCCCTACAGGCTGAGTAAAACGTTTACATAGGGGACACAGCGGCAAAAAGTGAACTTTTCTTTTCCCTTTTTTGACGATAGAAAAATAGCTCTAGTTTGCAAATACAAAGTTCAAGTTGCACAAAACTTGGATCAATTGTTCAACTCCAGGGTCTAGGTCATTTGAAATTGAACTAATTGAAATTGGCCCATTAGCGCCCCCTACAGACTATGTCAAAGTTTTACATGGGGAACCAAACCAACTGATCATATTAATAAAATTTCACAAACAGTGTTCTATGGCTACAGGAGCAAATCATGGCACGGAGGCGCCTCCTTTGCGCGCTGCGGCGCGGTACGGTGTGGTGCGGTGCAGTGCGGCGTTGTAGGGTGCGGCTTGTTGCGGGGCGGCGTGGTGCGAGGCGGCGTGGTGCGAGGCGACGTGGTGCGAGGCGACGTGGTGCGAGGCGGCGTGGAGCGAGGTGGTACTGCGCGGTGCGGGGAGTTGCACGGGGCGGCAAGGGCCGTTCGACGCCGCTTGCGGCTTTAATTCTCATTGTTTTGCTGCACAAATGCCGCGTAACTCTCTGAATGATTCATCCTGAGGTGGGAGATTAAATTGGAAGTATTGAAGGAAGAAGTCTTGGTTCCGCCTCGCAAGACTGACACTTTGCAGTCATTGCAAATTGCAAGTTTAATGTCCGAAGGGGACATTTGAAAATAATTCCAAACCACAAACATAATGTTGAGACAGAGCGAGTTGTGACTGCAGCCGTCCACGCTTGTTTGTATGCTTCAAGACGCAGCTTGATGAGGTCATCATCTGTGCGCCGGTAAACGCTTCAGGATCACAGGTTGTAACGCAAGCATTATCATATCGGTTTTAAGGCATAAAAGATCCGATACCGATATTACATTTTTATGCAAATATTGGGCCGATAATATCGGCCATCTCTAGTGTAAATAAATTCAATGTTTTAAAATTCAGTGTCCAAAAATTCATTGTTTTAAAATTCAGTGTCAAAATATTCAATGTTTTAAAATTCAGTGTCAAAATATGCAATATTTTAAATTTCAGTGTCCAAAAATTCAATGTTGAAAAAAATTCAGTGTCCAAAAAAATTTTCCGGTAGGAAAACACCTGTGCGATGCTCTGTTTCTGGTTACTTAGGCACAGTGTAGGAGTCTTGGTTTGGTCTGTCAAATGGCTCAAGCAAACATTTTTCTAGATGTCTCCCTGTTCTGACCGGGATTCGAACCCAGAACCTTCTTGCTGAGAGGCGAGAGTGCTATGCACTCAGCCACCGTGCCGCCCAACTACCTCCTGTAGCCCTGTGCTGTTTTGTTTGGAATATGATTGTAGAGGGAGCAGTATGAAATGGTTGTGTGTAATGACATTTTAATATGTTTTGTATCAGTTGTACTTTAGATGGTATGATAATTAATTCATGTCTGTATTAATTATAATTGTTGCAAACTGAGTTCTATTTCATATGTTGCTTCAGCCCTTTAGGCTTTGCTATTGCATATCTCTCGGAAGCACCCCTTCCCGCCCTCAGAAGATCAAACGATCCACCGCTCCAATCACCTTGACGTCCTGGCGTAGGTCAGTGCCCTATAAATAGGGCCACAGCTCTTCTCCTTTCTCTCTCAGCTTGCCTAAGAGAAGCTTCGATTCAGTTGCAAGGATTTCTTCAAGCAAGATCGCCGCGCCTGAAGGATTGTCACCCTCCGGTGTCAGGCTGCGGATCTGCGACTCTTGCCCAGCGGCACTCTCCCAGGCTGACCGCCACGAGTACTGTGTTTTCTGCCTGTGCTGGCGTCATGCCGCTGAGGAAAGCCCCACTTGTGTGGCTTGCCTCGCGCTCCCCTGGGAGGAGCGTGACAGACGCGGCGGGTTACTCAACGCCGCCTGGAGTGATGCCTACGGTGGCGTCGCTCATGGTGTGCCACCCTCCGCCCACGCTGCTGCTTCGCATGGTTCTTTGGAGATGTCAGGCTCCGGATCTGGACCAGGGTCCAACTACGATGAAGTGGATTTGGTGAAGGCCTGTGTTGTAGAATTAAAATGTTGTATACTAAATTATCAGTAGGTGTTTGCATAAAATGTGTTTGTGCAATATTAAGCCTGGATTTAGTGGAATTCAGAGAAGCACCAAGGACAAGGCTTCTGTGATAAAAGTATCATTTTCAGGAACAGCGTGTCTCTCTTATCGGAACAAAGCCTGAGACACAAAACTGGACTAGGCCAGACCGGGACCAGGACATCAGTCTGCCTCAGACCATATGACGTCATCGGACATTTTGATAAAACTGTTGGTAGGACATTTTGTTAGCAATCTGAGCAGGGATAGATAGACAGAGAGCATCGCAGAGCGCCTGGATGTTCTCTATAAATTTTCATGCCTGGAAGGGACAGTTAAAATGGCTCAGCATAGGGTTAGTTATAGGGAATTAATAGCTCCAAGAGTTTTGTATCAATATTTAATTGTAAAGATAAATAAATGTTCTTGTCTGCTTGGTCTGTATCAAATTCTGAACACGTCAGTCATATTTTTTGACAATACCTGCGATGAGGATGCCCAGTGTGGGAGTGGGAGGACTAAGCTCTCCCGTGAGCGCTATCCCCTGGATCGTTTCCCGCATCTGACCGCATTGGCTGTGGTCAGGATTCATTTGGCGATGCCGGTCCAGCCCGCCTCGCCTCCAGTGGACTATTTGCGGTCCCTCGCTCCCTCCTCCCGGCAGCACAGACGTGAGGTGGTCGCTCCCAGAATGGAGCCTCTGCTGCACTATGCCAGCCGAGAGTGGAGAGGGGGCCCGGCTCCGCATAAGCAAAGCGCACCTGCCCTCACGCTGCCACCCGGAAAAAGGCCCAGGGTGCTCAGCCCTCTTCCCAGGGGCCCCCCCACTATCCAGAGCAATAAGCGGGACTGCAAGGCCCCCCCTCAGTCCACAGTGTTGGGAAGCGTGGGCTCGGCTCCACGCAGGCGCAGCGCACCTGCCCTCACGCTGCCACCCCGAAAAAGGCCCAGGGCCGCAGCTAGGGATCAGCCCTTTTCTGAGGGGCCCCCCACTATCCAATGCCTCCCCAGGAGGGACATCTGTGGGCCATTGTGGACCTGCGTGTCCTCAATGGATGCATAGCCAAGCAACCGTTTCGCATGCTCACAGTCAAACAGCCACTGCTGAGCGTCAGGCCCGGGGACTGGATGTCCTCCGTGGACCTCAGGGACGCGTATTTCCACATACCCATTGCGCGGGGGCACAGGAAGTTCCTCCAGTTTTCTGTGGGGGGGGTGCTTCAAGTATTGTTGTCTCCCGTTCGGCTAATCCCTAGCCCCCCGCACCTTCTCCAAGTGTGTGGAGGCGGCGCTAGAACCCCTTCGGCGTCAGGGCCTCAGTATACTGACGTATGTCGACGACTGGCTGATCCTGGCCTCATCTTGGGAGGAGGCGCAGGATCACACGTCCAGAGTGTTGAACCATGTTGCCCACCTAGGGTTTGTGATCAATATGGACAAAAGCTCCTTGTGCTTGGCCCAGGAGATCTCGTATTTGGGACTGGTCTTGAATTCCAGGAGCATAACGGCTTCACTCTCTCTGGATCGTTCTGGGCGAACCTCAGGTCCAACCCCGGCTGATCCGGTCACTCTTGGGCATGATGGCAGCGGCCCATCCAGTGGTGAGACTGGGGTTGCTGCACATGCGATATCTCCAGAGGTGGTTCTCACACCTCAGGGGCTTTTCACGGAGGGCGTGACTGTCGGTGAGGGCTCAGAACGACGTCGCTTTCTGGCTGTCCCCAGGTTGACTCCAGGAGGGAGTTTGAATGGGTCTGGTGGACCACCACATCGAGGTCTTCACGGACGCCTCACTGAGCGGTTGGGGAGGCGTGCTCGGTCGGTAGGAGGCGTTTGGTCCTCCCCCTTGGGGCACATCAACCACCTGGAGTTGGAGGCGGTGCGGTTAGTTCTGGCTCATTTCGTGACCAGACTAGAGGGCCAACATGTGATTGTTCAGACGGACAACACCACTGTGGCAGCTTACCTTCACAGGGTGGCAGTGGAAGTTCTTCTGTGGGCGGACATTCACCTAGCCTCTTTGAGGGCCCGTCACATCCCAGGCGACAGGATTTCCAGGGGCGGGGCCTTGCGGGACGAGTGGGGTCTCGCCCCAGCGGTCGTGGCAGAGGTCTGGCTCCGGTTCGGGCCACCCAGGATCAGGCCTCCCCTCCGGCGGTCGGCTCCGTCTTGGGACCTTCAGGTGGTGTTGTCCGGCCTTTCGGGGCCTCCATTTTAACCCATGGACAATGCGACCATTGCCTGTTTGTCTTACAAAACGGCATTGTTGTTGGCTTCGGCCATGAGGTCTGGGGATCTGTGCGCCCTTTCCGTACAGCCGTCTTGTTTGTCCCTCCCCGATCGGGAGGGCATGATGGAGTTGTGGCCTAACGCGGCCTTCCAGCCCAAGGTCGTCACGTCATCTTTCAGATCTAGGGTGATCAGGGTGAGACCGTTTTTCCCTCCTCCGCATGCTTCGGCGGAGGAAGAACTGCGGCATAGTCTCTGCCCGGTCAGGGTTGTGAGATGCTATTTGGACTTGCATATCTGACCTCAGACGGTCGGATCAGTTGTTTGTGGGGTTTGGCACCAGGAGTTTGAGTACCGCTTTGTCTCCACAGCGCTTGGCCCATTGGCTTTGCCTCGCTATCTGTTTGGCGTATGAAGCTCAGGTCTTGCCGCCTCCGGCCCAGTTGAGGGCTCACTCCACTCGCGGGGTTGCCGCTTCAGTGGCATTGTTCCGTGGCACTTCGGTGGAGGAGATCTGCAGAGCGGCATCTTGGTCCTCCTCCTTGACCTTTGTGCAGTTTTACCTACTGGATGTTGCCTCTGACTCTGTGGCTCATTCGGTTTTGAGTGCAGGGCGGCCCTAGTTCCTCCTTCGACAGACCTCGGTGGGGACCGGTCCGCAGGAGAAAGGTTGTATGGAGAGGTGTGGCCGCTCTTGGGAGAGGCGGCCTGGACACCTCTGCAGTGAGGATAGGGGGTTTGGCGCTCTTGGGAGAGGTAGCCTAGACCCTTCTGCAGTCTGCTTTACTTTCCTGGGGATCAGGCGCTCTTGGGAGAGGCTGTCTTCCCAGGTTGGTTCTAAATCATATTTCCTGCTTTGCAGGTTGGGGAATGCGCGGGAACTCTTGGGAGAGGTGACCCTGCATCCCTTTCTCTATGGCTCGTAGGACCTCCGTCTCTACCGTATGAGCACGTGGGTCACGAGTTTGCTCCAATCACTGGAGTTCATACCTGCTGGGAGTACATTGGTCTGGGCTTCGCTATGTTATGCAATAATGAAATCTAAAGGGCTGAAGCAACATATGCGGCACGGTGGCTGAGTGGATAGCACTCTCGCCTCTCAGCAAGAAGGTCCTGGGTTCGAATCCTGGTCAGACCAGGGCCTTTCTGAGTGGAGTTTGCATGTTCTCCCCGTGTCTGCGTAGGTTTCCTCCGGGTACTCCGGTTTCCCCTACCACTAAAAATATGTCCAATAGTTCTGGCATGCGCTTCCTGTACTGGCGATCCCGCTCCCATCTCTGTGTGGAGTGAGAGACAAATGCCCAAAAATTAACAAATGTAAACCGCTTTGAGACTCAGATCTGCAGTGAAAAGGCGGTATATAAATAAAGATTGATTGATATGCAATAGAAACCCTGCAACATATTCATAAAACCTTAGTTACCTAATGTAACTAAGGTTTTATGAATATGTTGCGAAGCCCTTTAGCTTTGAGCCCAGCAGGCCTGCCCTCTCTTATTCGGCTGAGTTTGAAAGGAGAAGAGCTGTGGTGCATGGCCCTATTTATAGGGGACTGACCTCGACGTCAAGGTGATTGGAGCGGTGGAACGTTTGATCTTCTCAGGGCGGGAAGCGATGCTTCCGAGAGATATGCAATAGCGATGCCTAAAGGGCTTTGCAACATAATCATGGAACCTTAGTTACCTTAGGTAACTGGGATTTACACTGCTATAAACATAGAGATATATCTATAGATATATAGATTATGTTTATTACATATACACACACACATATACGGTATAAGCTGAGAAAGTATCACGATACATCACGATATCGATATATCGTCACACTCCTAATCTAAACCAATTATTTCTAAAGAAGTGAAAAAAATAAACCCCACTCCTGCCGGGAGAAAATAAATAAATGATAAAATACTAATAATACATTTGATAATAATAGTAATACTAATCATAACCAAGAAATAATAACAATAGCAACAAAGAGAAAATACTAACCTTATTAAAGTAATACAAAAGTAATTTACACAGAAGGGAGAGTTATTATTAAATTAAATTACTATTTACTACTATTACTCAATTATATTTTTTTATATATATACATATGTACATTATACAACTATATATATAATATTATATATATATATATAATATTATATATATATATAATATAATATATATATTGAAAAAAAAATATTCTCACCTTTTCCCTCTCTAAGCTCGGGTCCTCTACCAGAGGCCTGGGAGCTTGAGGGTTCTGTGCAGTATCTTTGCTGTTCCTGGCACTTCACATTTCTGGACCGAGATGTCCGAGGTTGTTCCAGGGATCCGCTGTAACCTCTTCTAGCTTCGGGGTCACTGCCCCGAGTGCACCGATCACCACGGGCACTACTGTGACCTTTACCCTCCAGGCCCTCTCCAGCTCCTCTCTGAGACCTTGGTATTTCTCAAGCTTTTCATGTTCCTTTTTCCGGATGTTACCATCGCTTGGAATTGCCACGTCCACCACCACGGCTGTCCTCTGCCCTTTGTCCACCACCACGGCTGTCCTCTGCCCTTTGTCCACCACCACGGCTGTCCTCTGCCCTTTGTCCACCACCACGGCTGTCCTCTGCCCTTTGTCCACCACCACAATGTCAGGTTGGTTCATTACCATTCGGTCGGTCTGTATCTGGAAGTCCCACAGGATCTTCGCACGCTCATTCTCCACCACCTTTGGAGGAGTTTCCCACTTAGACCTTGGGATTTCCAGCCCAAACTCTGCACAGATGCTTCTGTACACTATGCCAGCGACTTGGTTATGGCGTTCCATGTAGGCCTTCCCTGCAGCATCTTGCACCCTGCAGTTATGTGTTGGATCGTCTCAGGTGCCTCTTTGCACAACCGACACCTTGGGTCTTGTCTGGTGTGGTATATCTGGGCCTCTATCGCTCTGGTGCTCAGTGCCTACTCCTGTGCAGCCATGATGAGTGCCTCTGTGCTGTCCTGTAGGCCAGCCCTTTCTAGCCATTGGTAGGACTTCTTGAGATCAGCCACTAATGTTATGCTCTGGTGGTACATGCCGTGTAGGGGCTTGTTCTCCCATGATGGGCTCTCCTCCAGCACCTCCTCATCTCGCCACTGCCTGAGACATTCACTGAGTACGTCATCCGTTATGGCCTTCTCCATGATGTAGTTATGGAGTTTGGATGTTTCGTCCTGGACAGTGGCTCTCACATTCACTAGTCCTCTGCCTCCTTCTTTACAGCTTACGTACAGTCTCAGGGTGCTGGATTTGGGATGGAACCCGCCATGCATGGTAAGGAGCTTTCGAGTTTTAACATCCGTGGTCTGAATCTCTTCCTTTGGCCACCTGATTATTCCTGCAGGGTATCTGATCACTGGCAGGGCGTAGCTGTTAATTGCCCGGGCCTTGTTCTTGCCATTGAGCCGGCTTCTTAGGACCTGCCTTACTCGCTGGAGGTATTTGGCAGTTGCCGCTTTCCTCGTCACCTGTTTGAGGTTGCCATTTGCCTGTGGTACA